TTCTCATAATTATTATTTTGTTCTTGTATTTCGAATCAATTTAAGTTTTTGACCGTGTTTGATCGTTATTATGAGGTACCGAGCAGCACTTTCAGCTTTAGATTTTTTTCATTACTGCTTTATGTGACCGTTTAACAACTGTTGATTTCTTTCCAAATTAAAGGGTACTATACTTACAAAACGGCAAGAATAATGGTACTAGTCTAAATTATGTAAATATCACAGGTGTGAGGCACCGACGTTACGCATATGTTCCCTTTTTAGTAGAATAAACCACCTTTTCTTTCCACAGATAATCATCGGTTCATTACTATTCCTTGTGTGTTGTTCTGCGTACTTGGCTGTTCACCGTCACATCACCGGGGACACCTCTTGCCCTGCCAACAACCTGTCCAACGTGGAGTTCATCACAGCGTTCAGAATCTACTTCACTGCCCACACATCAGCTTACTGCCTGCTTTTCTTCGGTATTTTGATGATGAATTCCAAGATAATACACCGAATATGGTTACAGGTGAGAATACGCAAGAGCCTTACCACAAGCCAGGCCGCTTTCCAGACCCCGAAAAAGGAGATAGTCAGCACCGTTTCTTTAGTAGGAGTATCGGTGTTGTTTTTTATCCTCTGTGGGCCCCAGTGTGTGTGTATGATGTTGCAGTCATTTCTGAATTATGATTTGTTGAACGAGTTCTATGATGTTATCAGCATTTTTGATGCAGTGTCCAGGATAAGTTTTCTGATCCACACTAGTATATGTTTGCCCATCATCCTGGTTTGTGGTTCTCAGTTCCGCCAGATGTTTAAAGAAAAAATCGGAGGATTTTTCTCCGGTTTGGTTTTGTCTAATTCCACCAAGTCCACCACCAACACAACCAACTGATTTATCCCGCTGCCCTCTTCTCTCTTTTTTATTTTGTGTATGATAATTTAAGGATTTCGGCGCCTGAAAATGGTCAGCAAACTTTAAAAGTTGGATCTATTTGGAGATGTTTTAAATAATGTTGTTAAATTGTTCTGTCTTACCATTGTGAGCTACAATGTATGTGTCTGAAGTAGTTAGCTTATATGTATTTTGGTATATAATGATCTAAAGTAGTTATACTTATTTCAGCTTATGTGCAAATTTATGTAAAACTGTAGTTTAGAGAGCTTGTAAAATGTAACTGTACACATTTTAATGCTCAATAAATAATAATAATAATAATAATAATAATAAATTATTATTATTATAAAATCCCTGTTTTGATGTACATGTTATAGGACCTACCAAAGATACTGTTATTAATGGACTTCTTAAATTTTGTGGTAATATGTTTATTTATTTCTTATATGATTGCAATGAAGATGGTCGTTACGTGAGGTATTACTTTTTGTTTACAGGTACTCAAACGGTGCTGAACTCTGTGTCTGAATAATTTTTAAAAGTAAATCATCCACATCAACACACAGAAAATAGCACTTAATCAATTGACACATCAAGCGTTACAAGATAGCGAGAAACTATTAAAATTCATAGATGAAAAAATAATTGGATTAAAAAATCCCTTGGTTAGTTTTTTATTTTTTTCAAAAATGCTGTACTTTCATTGAACAAATTTCTAAATAATATACCAAAAAGGTACTGATACAGGCACATAGAAACTGCCATAATAGCTTTTGTGATATTCAGCACAAACATGTTTGTTCAAACACATCAGAAAAACCTGTTCAAAGTCAACCACCGTCAAGAGAACTTCGTATGTTATTTCCTGGCCTTTCATGATTCTGTGAAGGCGGGTTAAATTCACATAAAAGCTAAACCAGGACATGAAGGATCGTGTCAAATTACGCAGGTGGTTAAGTATCCCAGTAAAAGCAGTAACTACTTATGATCATTGCTGATATGTAGAATTATATATTTACACCCTATCCCAACACAGGGTTCTCCGGTCGTAGATACGTGAGTAGGTAGTAAACACAGGCCCGTAGCCAGGGGGGGGGGGGGGGGGGGTTGGGGGGGTTCGAAAAAACCCCCCTTTTTGCTGTGAAAAGGTCCACTCTGAGAAAAAATTGACCTATGTACTTGAGGATTTTATGGTAAAAGGTCCACTTTTCAGAAAACGAACCCCCCCTTTGAAATTGCTGGCTACAGGCCTGAAACATGACATTTTTGCACCATTAAAAACAAGGCTGTTCTACCTATAATCTTTTCTGTGTGCAAATGAGTTTTTTTTTTATCTAGAATTGATTATTTTTTCTTAACAAATATATTTTAGTTATTTACTGTATGTGCTTTTATGTGAGAATCCGTATGTTTTATCTAGAATACTCTTAATTTTTTTTTGTCGTTAAGCTCTGTAATTTTTCATTTATCTATTCCTAATTATTGATTTCTTAAATAATTGTTTTATGTATATGTAGTCTTCTGAACATGTTATAATGGATTTAAGACTCAAAATAAATTTATTATTATTATTATCATTATTATTATTATTATTAAAATTGCCTTGCAATAAACAGATGCCGTAAATGTTCGTCAAACCGATATCGCTGAACGCCTGTGTGTATTAGTAATTTGGTGATTGATATTTCATAAAAGCCATTTAACACCTTTTATATGTATTTATGATTAAATATGCTCCGTGAATTAATGAATATGATCAAAAAATAAAACTTAAGCTTCTGGTACCTTACAGAATATCTATAATTATTAAAACAATGCTGAAAATACAACTACAAAATGACAAAGATAATTAAAATCCAAGTAAAAAACACTAAAAACTCTTAAAATATGTTTTTAAGTTATGGTTTTATAGTCACTTTTTCCGCATGCCTAATAATTTGTTATAGCTACTTTAATATTGCTCTAAGATTTGGGGAGGGGGGGGGGGGGCACACCTAAAATGCAGTTACCAACCGCTATAAACATGTCATTTTGGACGTTGCTTGAATGACAAAATACTTTAAAAAATACTCAATTCTATTATCATTACAACTACACTGTCAAGTAGAAAAAAAACTTTTCAAGAAATGCGGGTCTATGTCAACGGAAACAGGTGTCTAAATGGATAATATGTAGCATTTAAAGCAATCATCTTTCACATATTTATACCCGCCCTGATCACGATGCGCCTCATTGTCAAACTGATGAAACGTCAACTACAGAACTGTGAGTACTGTAAAAATCTATTTTATTTTGAAATTCACAACGAAACTTCAATAGTTTTTTTTACAGATAGGCTACTAGAAATATGCAAGAGTAAAAACAGCATAATAGAAATTATTTAAATGATTGGGATACTCACTATTTCCCGTGACTGCCCGTTTTAAAACAGTCCGTGGACAATCTGTAAATTTGTAAAATATCTGTAAAATATCTGGGAATACGCCCCCGGTATTTTAGATATAAAGCGATCTGAAATTCATGCATATTTTAAATGATTGTTATAAGTTGACATGACAACATACGTTCCAAGAGAGACAATCTGAATATACCATCAAAATAGATTTCAAAGAAGTAACTGCATTACACACCAATTACTTACATAGTAAGCGTTATAGAATGTTCAAAAGATTGGTTATGAATAAATGTATTCATCCATCCAACATTTGCAAGAAATAGGAATCCAACTGCACTGATATTTATTGCCGTTAGTGTTAGAGGCACGTGGAAAAAAAATAGTAAGAGCGCATTCCGAACAGCAGACTAACAGATCCTCGGATCAAATATGGATGACCCCTTGAATGCTTGTTGAGTAATCCCCGCGGAGAATCTCTTCAGTGTCTTATCGGGAATTAAGCGGCCAGCTTTTTAGTGGGTCGCCATATTTGATCCGCGGATCTGTTAGTCTGATGTTCTAAATGCGCTGTATATCAGATTTGACGGCAGAGACAAAAGGGCCAATCAACAGGGCTAAATGAATCAGGATGTGGGGAATTACATGCCAAGGACAGGCAAAATTTATTATACACCCAAGTGCTTATTGACGCCAGCAACTCGTGCAATTTATGTTGAATTGAGAGGATCTCTTTTCTCTGATATCTAATGCTAAGTAATATTATTTTAAGGCCTTTTTTCAATTGCTTAATTTCTTTTCTTTACATTGTTTTTTTCATTTATTTATTGTCAATAAATTTTGCTAAAAAAACTTATCTACTGCCTATATACAAATAACGATAAAACCTTTAAATTGTATTTAAATAGCCAAGACAATAATTTTTCCGCTTATAGAACTCCACCGACTACTACGCCATTTGTCCATTTGACTTCGTTTGCGTCTTGTTTTCATTATTTTACCTCGGACCATCCATCCAAATTACCTGACAGCCCAGCTTGCATAAAAATGGATACTATTCATGTCGAGGCAAAGATTATCGTACAAATAGCAACAATGCATCTTAATTCAGCCATTTCATTCCCTTAATAGCACTTGACCTGACCAAAAATGGGGACTTGTAATGCAAATTATGGGGAAATAACAAAATCAAAAAACTTGTTTGACATTCAGATGTGACGAGAGTGATATCGTTGTACTTTCAGTAATTTTTACTGCAGTTTAATTGCCATACCACTGATACACAGTGCGCCATGTTGTCTACGATCTACGCAATTCTGGTTACCCTCTGCCTCCTTCTGGCATGTAGGCCTACCTCAGTGCGAGCGCAACGGCTAAAACGTCGGTCTCTCGATCCATCTTGCTCTCTCCAACTGGCCGATGACACCCTACCTAGCCGTAACCATGACGATGTTGTGGCTGCGGCAGCTAAATGGGCCCCAATGGTGAATTTAGCCGATGGAGAAGAATGGCGTCCCTCAAGCGTTGACTTCTTCTTAAATGAAGTTAACTTACGTGGAGGAACACCAACAGATGTAACGTCGGCAACGCTCCCCGTGTGTAACGACGACTGCTATCTAGAAACCAAAGTGGGACTGTCCTGTGCTTCGTGCAGAGATCCCCCGGTATTTCGTGGCCAAGACCCCGCAGTCGCCCCGGTGTATGCCATCTACGAGGAGACAAACAACACTGTGAGCATAACCTACTGGTTTTTCTACCCCTACAACCGTGGGAAAAGGGTCTGCATTGGTTACTATGTGGATGTGTGTTGTGGTGAGGTATGGGGACGTTGTTTGTGTGGTAGGATAAGCACCTGTATTGGCGGATACTCCACTTTTGGGCACCATGTTGGAGACTGGGAACGGGTCGTAATAACATTCAAGGATGACAAACTGTACTCGATATATCTCTATATCCATGGATCAGAAGCTACTGCACAGTTTGGCGGAGAATTCATTTGGGACGGGCAAAGCTTCAAACAAGGTTCACGCACCGTGTCGCTGACCGAATGCAGCCACCCGGTGATTTACTCGGCAAAGGGTTCCCACGGTTCCTGGCCAGAACCCGGGGAGCACGTGTACAAGGATATCATCATGGATAAGCTGGTCGACTCTTGCAGCGACGGCCAGGATTGGCAAACCTGGAACAACCTGAAGGTTGTCAAGAACACCGGTGCTCCCTTCACTGGCGAGTTCAGCTTCCTGAACTTCAAAGGCCGCTGGGGAAATAGAGAGTCTGAATGCACACTTCGGACAATCGGGATCGATCAGTGCATCTTGAGTAACGGTCCCACGGGTCCACTGAATTAATAGAGCGGTTTGATGCATCGCCCTGTCTTCTCAATAGTCTCCTATATGCTTGTACTAATTAATGAACGGATTATTGAAATGTACAGGTATAATAAAAGGGGTTATTGAAATATATGGCGTAATTTTATTTTTCAATGAAGATCATAAAAGAGTTGAATTGATTTAGTTTTAAATATCATTGAATATCATATGCTTCAAAGATACCATTAGTTGGCCTACACTTGCACCCCCCTCCTCTCTCTCTGAAGCTGCTAAACGATAGTTAAATTACCCCCTAACAGCTTTAGTAATTAAGTGTGCCAGACATTAGAGCGTCTGAAACTGAATGGAATTTAGCGAGAAACCCTTGAAGATGGGTCGATCCCGCTAGATCGTTCTAAGTATGGGAACTGGGTCATTGAATGGAGCCTTTTTCCACGATATTTTTACTCTCATAAATTTAATATTAACTATGCTTTACCAAGAAACAGATCGGGATGTGTCAAAAATACTACGGTAACGTGCATATATGTTATAACCTCTATGTCAGGACTCGACACTAATTTTTACCTGTCCCGAACAGTCGTTATTGTCGAGCCCAACTAGCTGTATGTACAAATTAAGTTTTACTTTAAGATCAGATGAAGTGATAAAAAACTCGATTACTCGCTTAATTAATCCACATATAAAATCTGTCAGAATTACACACCCAATGAGTTCAGTGGATTGGACGGGCTGTTTAACATTTGAACAATTTTGAGCTATTTTTGAATGACTGAGAATCCTCATCGTACCGATGGTGCAGATAAGGCACCCAGGAGAGCTCGCCAATGTTGTCTATCTGCCGTCTCTGCTGCATAATCAGCCCTCCAATATTATCCCCATGCCCTTCCTTAGACGAGCTATTTCTATTTCTACCAATAATCTTCAACTGGATAAATAAACTTTAATCATCGTTAAAGTAAAATATATATTCATTATATTATTTATTCCCGACACTAACAGCATGAAACGTGTATTAGGTGAGATTGCTGATTGCGTGCAACATCGAATGAGATTTGTTGCCCATAGTAAATCCCACTTATTTCCGGTCAGTACGGCCAGTTGTGTACATTGCATTACTTGTTGGACTTCGGAAGTTTTATTTAAGAAGAAATCGTATGATTTTTTTCTGGGTTTGTGTACGTTAAAATTTTGAGATTTTTCAAAGTTGGTTTGCTGGTCTATGTTTGATTTTGTGGTTTGGATCACACTTTAGGCCCTTCTGCTTCACTAAAATTTCGGCTTGGTTTTCCCGCGTTTTGGTAGGTATATCACAATCCGCTAGGGGCGATACAGTAGTAACTATCCAGGGGCAGTGAAGCACTCAGTGAAGTGTAAAACTGATTTCGGCCTGCTGACAGCACAGTGACGTGTACATGGTAATCTTCTTTACACGCGTAAGTATTTTATACAATGACGTGACACTTAAAATTTGTGTATAAATTAAAATATTGTTAAAATATGTGTATACTTTAAAATATTGTTTAAACATTTAAACTACTCTGAAGATGCTTAAATATTTCATATAGCCAAAGTCAAGGACTATAAATTTGGCGACTATTAAATCGGGTGCATACATTTTAAAAACATTAAAACAATCTTACAATACAGTACTATATTATTCCACCATAAAGAAAAAATCTAAATGGGTTACAGTATTGAAAACATATGTTAAATCTCCTTAGGGATTCTAACCATTCAAGGTGACAGCCGATCGTGGTACAAATAGATATAAGATATACAGTATAGTGTAGTATAAACAATGTTTATTATACTTGGGTACTATTGCATACCATGTTGTAAATCAAGCGTTTCTTCATACTCACACAAGGCCCCAAAGTTAGGCTTCTAGTATTGTGGAGAGTTGCAGCGAAAGTAATGGATAAAAGAGCCACAAATGACCCAGAAAGCATGGAATATCTCACCGCAGGCAACATTCAGGTTAAGTCAGAAGCAGAAGTTTGTCAATCATGTCTTGATCATGATATAAAGAATATAAAGAAAGAAGAGGAAGACGACTGCTCCCATGGAATTGACTTAGGTATGTTATGTGACTAGACTTGCTACAGAGACACGCACACATGCACACGCACAACACACGCACATACTTGTACTAGTACGCTTTTGTTAAACATATGGAAACAAGCTTTCTTCAGAGTTTTCATGTATGACCATATTTCTTCCGCACATTGTAATAATAAGCAGCTTGTTACGTCCACTCGCTGATAGGAACTCCAGTGCACTATTATTCCCCATTGGCAAAAATGTGATATGTACCCTGTAAAATGCAATCCTTAATGTTATGCTATAACCTTACTACAAGTTACCAGGACCCGAAAGTGACACTTGTTGAAATGTTGGTATTCATTCAAAAATAGCTCAAAATTGTTCAAATGTTGAACAACCCATGCAACCCACTGAATTCATTCCATGCGGCACGCGTGTGTAATTCTGGGGCCGTAGCGATAGTCCGAAGGTTCAATAGTCCGAAGGTTCATTGGACCCTTGAATAAAAAATCGATGAAAATGTTACCACTTTTCGGACCAATGAACCTTCGGACCAATGAACCTTCGGACTATCGAGACGCCCCCGTAATTCTGACAGATTTATATGTGGATTAGCGAGTAGGCCTGGTGGGTAACAGTGTGTAATTCTGACAGATTAATATGTGGATTAGCGAGTAGGCCTGGTGGGTAACAGTGCGTAATTCTGACAGATTTATATGTGGATTAGCGAGTAGGCCTGGTGGGTAACAGTGTGTAATTCTGACAGATTTATATGTGGATTAGCGAGTAGGCCTGGTGGGTAACAGTG